GCCAGTGCAGCTATTCATCTCCTGCTGTAGCATCCTCTGCTCTCTGCTCCCCAGAGCCCTGCAAGAACCAGCCCCAGAGCAGGAAGCACTCGGTCTCCAAGAGCCTGAAGCACCTCTTCCACCCTGGCAGCAAGTTTCTCAAGACACTGAAGCGGTGAGAGGCTGGTGGGCGCAGAGGGTGGAGAACCCCTCTCCTGGCAGGGACACAGGGCTGCCTGTCCTGGGCGCAGCTGGGGGTTGAGGGGGCTCGGAGGTGGGTCCTTGGCTGGAGGGAGCTGGTGGAGCAGTGGAGATGAGTCTCATTGCCCAGAAATCAGTTTCTCCTTGTTGTTTCCACGTGGAGTGGCCAAGCTGCGTCATCTCCAGGCATCACCCAATGCCCACTTTCCTCTAGACCCCACTGCCCTCCCACCGCCCACCTTCGTGCTTGGCATCCAGGCACCCCAGTGTGTCTCCTGCACAGACCTGGCCCTGTCACCCTCCCTGGTGTTGGTCAGGACGTTAGCCATGGCATTAGCCTTGCTGGCAGTGTAGGGTTCCTGTTCCTGCTTCCGTACTGACCATGTGATTCTTCTGCCATGGGCTGCTGGAGAAGAGCTGAGACCTGGGGCAGGACATTGCTCTGCCCTTGAGAGAGAGACCCTTTGGAAAGTGAAGCTGGCAGCTCCTAGTGACACTGCGGTCTGTCTTCCCTCCCATGCAGGGGCCTCTATCTGACAGCCATCTTCTACAAGGATGACAACATCCTGCTGACCCATGAAGACCAGATCCCCGTGGTAGAGATTGACGACACCTACTCCTGCCTACTCATGCAAGATTTTCTCTGGTTCACTAAGGTGGGTGGCCCAGGGACCCTGTTCTGTGTGCTGGCACACAGCAGCAGTGTGTCTTCTGACACATCTCTGCCTGGCCACCACCTTCTTCTGAGATAATGGCCACCACCTTTGACACTGTGTCCTCCAGGAATGTCACGATATGCAGAGCCCCATCCTTGCAGCACCTTCCTTACGAAGGCAGCGCTGCTGGTCATGCATGGGGTGGATTGGGTCTGATTTGGGGACTGGGAGCAGTGTCAGGGGACACCCCATGTGCACAAAGTGAATGTGAGCTACTCCAGCTCCTCACGCCAGATAACACAACACCTGGCAGCTCCTGGGCTTCCCGGCATTGCCTCTGGGACCTCTGTTGTGCTGCTGCCCTCGGTGTGATGCCGAGAGCTGGTCGCTGCTCAGGAGTGCCGGACATTGCACACCATTGCTGCCTTCAACTGGTTGCAGGTCCCCCTCCATTCTGAGCCCTGGGGATTGGGATGGACTGAGAAACCACCACAAAACATCATTTTCACCCCAACCCAAAGACAGGCAATGGACTACTACCATGCTGGGCAGGCTTCATGCCACCATGGATGGGCACTGTCTCTCTACAGGGATGCCAGCGGCTTCTCAGCTGCTTCGCTGCTCCCCTGTGGCCGCTCTGATGTGCAGAGCAGGGCATGTGGGGTGCTGCTGCCTGGTTCTCCGCTGGCAGTAGGCTTAGTGAAAGGGCAGGTGGGCAGCTGAGGGCCAAAATTTTTTGCTGGATGGTCCATCTCTACTGAGGGACAAGGCTGTGTTCTCTCTCCTTCTCTTGCCTATCTTCTCTTTGGGGAAATAGCCAGGAGAGGTTCAGGTTGGATATTAAGAAGAATTTCTTTAGTGAAAAGGTTGTCAGGCATTGGAACAGGCTGCCCAGGGAGGGGGTTGAGTTGCCATCCCTTTTAAAGAGACATTGTGCTGAGGGTCATGGTTTAGTGGTGTTGACAGGGCTAGGACAAAGGTTGGACTTGATGGTCTTGAAGGTCTCTTCCAACTGAAACTGTTCTATGATTCTAAGAGTCTACGCAGACTTAAGAAGGTCTTGGTCCTAAACGAAGTCAGATAATCTGGGTGGGCACAGCATGCGGCTTTCCTCAGGTGTAGACTCTGCAGGCATCTCAGGGTGCTTGTGGCATCCCTGCTGAGAGGTGACATGCCTGTTCCAAACCCAGCTCAAGCACAAAGGCAAAAGCGTTTCCCCAAAGCACCTTTGAGTGAAGCAGCCGCAGGCAGCAGTGGCCAGAGGTAACAGCCCTTTGGTGTGCTGCAGGTGTCCTGCATGTGGGACGAGATCCTGTGGCTGCGGCAGTGCGTCACTGTCTCCCAGTCATCCTGCTCCTGCATCCTGCAGACGCGCTTCAAGATGCTGCTGGCCATCTCACAAATGCAGGTGAGGGTGGGCCTGGGGGAGGAGCGGGCGCTTTTTGGGGGACACTGTGGGGTGGGGTCCCATGGGAGCACTCTTCCTACACCCAGAAAAACCCCAGGCTCTGCTCAGTCGATGACAGGACTGGATGTACCTGCTTTGTCCTCCCTGGCAGGACCTTGGCTGGGGGACTGTGGGGTGTCAGGCTTTGGGACGATCTCGTGCTGAGGGGCTGCGAGGTGTCGGTGGGCGCTTGACTGGGCAGGCTGCTTTCCAGCAGGCAGAGGGAAGACACCCGGCCACATCCCACCCGCTCAGTCCCCTGACACTCTGCTTTCTCCTGCCTTCCCACCCCACCACACAGGGGCTGCTGGGCATCCAGGACCTGGGGCAAGTCTTCTTTGAGCCTGTCAAAGACAAACAGGGCAACATCCTCATCGTCACCCTGAAGGAGGTGAAGACCAACCAGACCTTCGAGAGTGTCCGCTGGGTTCCCATCTGCAAGCTGCAGACCAACCGCAAGTCCGTGTCTTCCCCGGAGGAGCCCACCGCCCTGGACACGCTGCTGATCTCCATCCAGGTGCCGTTTGGGCAGGGGATTGCAGTGGGCTCCATTGAGGGAAAGCCACGGCAGAGCCCAGGCCTCCAAGGGCTCAGTCCTGGCTGTGCGCAGAGAGGGAACTGCAAAAATCCAGTTGCTTCGAGGGAAGGCATCAGGCTGCTGCCAGATTCATTCCGGCAGCACCAGATTGTACGTGCTCTGCCATGGCAGCCGGCACGAGGGCAGGAGAGAGCCCCACTGTGAGGCCTTGTTCAATCCAGCAGCGCTTTTCTCCTCAGGACAAGCTGGCTTACCACCAGCGGAGCAGCCATGCCCTCTCACCAGGACTGTACCTGGGATACTTGAAGCTCTGCAGTGCCGTGGATCAGATCCGAGTGTTGGTGCCAGAGCGACTCCCCAACATCCTGTGCCACGTCAAGATCCGCTCCAACCCCAACATCTCCAGGTGGGGCTTGCAGGGCAGCTCACCCGGGGCAACCAGGCTTCTTTGTCCCATCCAGCCTAAGAGCACCCATCACCTCCTGCTTCTGCTCTCGGGCTCCTGGCAGCAGGAGCTGCCCTCTCAGCCCCACTGCCTGCTGTGCAGGGTGACCTGGAGCAAACCAAGGTCCCCCTCTACCTCTGCAGCTCCCACATCCCTTCGGGTGAGGCACTGTCTTGGGGAGGAACAGGCGAGCAAACACAGCTGTTGTAGAGATTGCACATTCAAGTCCACTCTGAGCTGCTCTCTCCTTCACGTGTCTCTGTCCTTCTCCAGGGAGGAGTGGGAATGGCTGCAGAAGATGGCCAGCGTGGAGGAGCCTGTTCCAACGGAGCCAGAGGCTGAGGCCTCTCAGAACCACTTGTTTCAGGAGCTCCAAGTGGCCATAAAGGAGCTGATGACCCTGGTCAACATCCCGTTGCAAGAGGTACGGGCAGATGCTGAGGTCTGCAGAGGGAGGAGGGAGGGGAAGGAGGCAGGGTACCGCAGCCCTTGGTCCCTTTTTTTGGGCCTGAAGCATAGATGGGATTTTAGTCCTGCGCAGATAGAAGGCAAGTGGTGGACGACCGTCCCTGAGGAGTCCTCTGTGGATGAGGACTCGATGGAGTTCCCACCACGTCATGTTTGCAACTGCTTCCTGGGGTGTCTTCTTACAGGCCAAAGACTTCCGTCTGTACAGCCAAGAAGTGCTGGACTTTGGGGACCAGGTCTCCTTCCTGCTGCTCCTGCCTCCGTCGGATGACGTCTGCACTGCTCCAGGCCAGAACAACCCCTACACCCCTCGCTCCGGCTTCCTCACGCTGCCGCTGCAGATCTTCGAGCTAGGTGAGGGGAAGGAATGCCATAACCCCAACCTTGCTGGTCTCCGTGTTCTCTGAGACCTCCTGAGAGCTGGCATGGGCGGTGGGCTAGGCTGGAGCTCCCCCACCTTCCTTTCCCAGGACAGGAGGGGTGGAGGGGGTTGCTGAGGGCTGTCCAGGTAGGCTAGAGGACAGCATCGCCTCCTCCCTATGTTGGGTGAGCGAGAAGAATCCTGTAGAGCATCCACTGCTATTTTTCATTCCCTCCCTCTCGTTTTTTCCTCTGCCCAGTCCACTTCTTCACGTATGACCGTGAGTTCATCACCCAGTACTGCCAGGTGTCCGCTCTCCTGGAGCTGGAGTCACTCCTCTCTCAGCAGAGCCTCAGGGAGGCTTTCTCCGACGCCGAGCTCTCCACTGCGAAGCAGAGGCACCAGCAGATTCAGGACTACATCCAGGTATGCAGAGCAGGAGCACGCATGGAGGGAGCCAGGCTCGATGATGCCCATGAGATGTGGCCAGAACAGTCGTGCCCCAGAGGAACTGCAGGAGCATCCCCACCGGGGGTGTTCACTGGTGTTGGTGGCTGTGACCCCCTGGAGGGTATCTCTGATGTGGCAGACAGGCAGCAGCAGGCAGGGCTGTGTCCAGCAACCTCTTACTGCAATGATCACGTGAAAAATCCTGATCAGAGAGCCAGAGGCTCCTGCTCTGCAGGTCCCCACCTTGCTAGAAAAGGGCTTGCACGTGCATTTTGGGGTGGCCATGCAAAAGGGCACCCCATGCTACCCCCTTGCTCAGCATCCCTGCCTGCAGTGGACAGGTCCTGCCAGCAGATGAAGCGGCATCTTCCCACCTGAGAGCATTTTATTGGGGTTTCCTCACTCAGGGATTCCCCCAGAGCTGTTGCCTCTTGGCAAAAGGCGTATGGGGAGAGCCTGTGTTTTGCTGTGGGGTTCTGTTGTTGCTGTGTTGTTTGCTTTTCAAAAGGGATCCTTCCTTTCTTATTTTGGCAGCAAATGGAGGAAATCTGGCGTGAGATGCGCTGGATTATGGATGCCCTGCAACACGCACGGTACAAGCAGCCCTCCTGCGGTGTGTCTCTCAGCGGCTTCCTCAGCGAGGCTGGCGGTGCAATGAAGGAGAAAAC